AGCGATTCCGACAGCGACTCGGACAGTGATTCCGATAGCGATTCCGACAGCGACTCGGACTCTGAATAGAGGGGAACAACCCGTCCGATTTGGATGCCGGAAACGGACTGAAGACGCGTTTTGCAGAACGAACCAGCGAAATYGAAACCCCACAAGCTGCAACGTAATCCATTGCCGACACAAAACTAMCGTACTGCAACGTATAAAAGCACTATTGTAATAATCATGATACCCGTGAACAATCGYATTAGTCACAGCTGGCAAAAACCGCTATTCGCGAATCGCTACGTCGCATCACCCAGTACTACCCCATCATTGGTTGAGACTGCGTATCGAAAACAKGTAGGGTTCGATCCGAGTAAAATGCCARGCACAGGTTTGTAGCTATGGTCTCGCCTTGGTCTTGCTTGTAACTACAAAATTCAAATATCTGTTGTTGCTTAGTACGATGCCCTGATGCTAGGAACAAATCTGGTAGCATCTGACACTCTCCTAGCTGCAAAAGCGTTGTGATACTAGGTTGATGAAAGAACGATAGTTTCAAMTTCAAATCCATGGTTTTCTTGGGAATACTTCTGTAGTAAAGTACAAGTAATTCGGAACTTTGGGATGGTAGAAAAGAGAAAATATATCCTGAAAAAGGGATGAAGGTAGATTCTCCCATTTTCTGGCCATCGTTAGGGGGATCCGAAAAATTATTCAATTCCATTCAGTGCTTTTTTCTCGAGACAGCTCCATTAGTTRCATGCATAAAAATAGATAATCTCAGAGATTCCCGTAGGTCGTCCGCTTGAGTTGGATCTCCCTATTTCCCAAAACAAACAAACAAACTGGATCTTCTTCCCCCCGATCGCCGACCACGAATCGTGGTGTCACTGCCACTCACTCAGAGCACGACATGGTAGTAACGTACGGTGCTACTGCACAGTCCACAGGCCACAACCTCGCATCACGACACGACACGACACGACATCCATACACCGCGCGATGAGCAGGTACGTGCCCCCGCATCTCCGTGGAAAGGGAGGAGCGTCGCCGTCAACGAGCAGCAGCAGCAGCAGCAGCAACAACAACAACAACAGACGCGGCACCCCGAATTCCGGTAGGGGAGCAAGCCGGTGGGACCATCTCGATGCCCCGCGAGATGGCAATGATCGTGGGAACAGAAACAGAAATCGCGGCAGGTTTGGTTTTGACGCCAATTCCAATTCCAATTCGAACCCGAACACCAACGGGAATCGCTCCCACCAGGAAAAGSTTGCGTCGAAGGGGAACAAACCGACCGCAAGCCGCTGGGCCAACGTGAATCGGTCCGCCATCGAAGCGGGAGGGAGTTCGGGCAGGAGTCCTGGCAGGAGTCCTCCGCGCTTTGGTGCTCGCCAAAACCATCATTCGAACCGCCATCCGAACAACTCGCAGCACGTCAGGGCCGTCTTTTTCGGGGACTCCTTCATCAAGCTCTTCGGACTCCTGAACGACTACTCGGATTCCGTCCTGCGGAAACCCCGGACCATCGAGGTCCACAAGTACAAGGCCGCCAGCGCCAAGGGCCTGTGCCGCGATGGGAACGAGAACCGGGCTTGCATTCGGCGCGTGGTGGACCGCCTCCAACAGCACCAGTACCCAAACCTCGAGCGGCTCGTCTTTTGCTTTGGGGACGTCGACGTCCACATGTCCTACTACTACAAAAAGTTCGTGGTGGGCCAGGCCCTCACGGAGACCGACCTGGAAGCCATCGCCTGCGACTACGTGGATTTCGTGGCCGGCCTGCCGGTTCCGGAGCCRGCGTCCCTCCGCAGGCTCGTCGTGGGCATCTACCCGAGCCCGCTGGGGGACGGGGACGTCGGTGCCAGCCTCAAGGCCTACGGAAGCCTGGACACCCTCGAGCAGGTCGAGGCGGTCAACGCCTCGGACGACCGGAAAATGGAGGCCCGCCAGGCCCGGGTCCAGCTCTTCAACGACGCCCTCCGGGAGCGGTGCGCCCACCACAACCGCATCGCCGAGAGCCAGGGACGGGATCCCGTGCTGGAGTACCACGACGTCCAGGACGAGCTGCTGACCACCACCACTATCTCGGCACGCGAGGATGGATCGCCGGACGATTCGCCGAGAGAAGTGGTAGTGGTGAGGGACGCCTACCGCGACGTCTCGGACCTCAACATCCATCTCATCCACGAGACGACCCTGCAGCTCTGGGTCGAAAAATGGCCCTGGTACAAGGCGCTCACGCTCCCTCCCGAGGAACGACACGACCGCAGGCCACCGCCCATTGGCTTTGTGGAATACCTCCAGAAAACCTTTGACGAGTACCGAAAGACCAAGCCATGGGCGGAACGGACCCACGTGGCGGAAACCATGGGGGTACAGCTGCCGCCTTCCTCGTCGTGAGCAAACACCACCGCAGATTGTCCAACGTTGGATTGTGTGGCACTCGAGTGGAWTGCATTCATTGCGATTCGATTCCATTCATAGTCGGTAGCACGCGGCACAAATCACTTCCACCAAGGACAAGGACAAGGACAACGCGACTAGGTATATACAACACGGTACGTGCAAGATACGACTGAATTTTGTTTTCTTTGCATTTGATTCGTCCCATCTTTCGACAAATACTACAGGTTTTCTAGTAGTTTGGCCCTTCATTTGCTTTATTTTGGGTCTTGTTGGTGTCAGACTGGACTTCGCTTCACCCGTGGGATTTAATAACCGGGAAAACAATCACTCCCACCTTTCTCCGGTCGCTATCCCACACACATGACATCGCCCTCGGGATGCACACGCACCATTTGCCGACCGCGATTGCACTCTGTGCATGTACGTAGGATATTCTCTCCACGGATGTGCGGTCGATCGTGTGCTCCCGGGGTACATTCCATTTCCTAACAAACGATTGAACGAAGGAATCAGTTCTCTCACACGCTTCTTGGTTTRCCGCCTTTGATTTGTACGATTGTAGCAATCCGTCTCGTGCTTTTCCTGTTTATGGGGGGTTGTCCCTGCTATCTGTTCCTATTGGTTTCGAACCGAGCACGGAGCCCCCGCGTGGAGGAGACACMGAAACCAGGAACGGTTCGAATACGCCCATCCAGCATGGTGAATAAGAAATGAAAGTGGAATTGAAGTCGCTCGAATGTGCGGTTGTTKTGCGACCAAACGAAACAATCACAGACGATGAATGCACGAGAAATACGCACTATATCCACCACTCTCTATTCAGACCACATCGGAATCTTCCTTGATGTTATATTATTACCCTTGTTTGGTACCAAGCTTAGCTCCAGTAACTATCTATTTCKTGGCACTGTTGCCGTAACCATTGATTCCATTCCTAGCTGGTCGCCTTCCGCCACCCTCGAATTACAGAGACGACGATCGGTCTATCTCTTCAYTCGATTGCATTACAAASACGAACAMAMTCCTTATAGTAAATATACTAATRACATGTTCCGGTAACATRTGTAGATGAATTCTTTTTCCGCACCTACGTGACTTGAAMATTRYGGTTTGTCTGACYAACTACGATTGTGGAACAAAAATAATAGTATTCGTAGCAGTGTACCACATCATTTTYCAATTAAGACGAAACGGCTCGTGTGCAAGGTGCCGCACGTGTCACATGATACGGTACTGGTTCCTCGAAGCCATTCCAGTAAAGATGCACTAGGTTTCYATGAAACTTGTGAGAGCTAGCACGGCATTGCGAGCGAGGTGATCTACTTRTATTTATTGTTTACACAAACATGAAAYGAAATTCGGAATCGATACACGATTCCGCTAACGACGATTCGTTCAGTCCCATCAACAACTCYATGCCGAAGATACACATACAATTTTTCCGGAGACCCCATTTATAACCCTGAAACCACAAACATCCACCGGTGTTGAATGGATCCCTCCCCACACATTCTAGTAGACGAGATCTATTGCACAACATTYGATTTTAACAACCGCTCCTAGCAATGTTTCCCTCTCGCCGTCTCCGAATACTTGGGGCCATTGTTGTCGCTTGCCCYTGTAGCTTGGTATGTCCTGTTGTTGCCTCGCCAGTCGATGATCCACTGCGCATTGTKGGAGGGAACAATGCAGATATTGAGGAATATCCATATTATGGTGCGTCTTGCGTGAACAGTATGTAGGAAAAAGTACTATTGATCTTGCTACAGAGTCCAATGCATTGCAAACATTTCGTCCGACCAACGCTGTTGTTCTCAATTCTTCGGCAACAGTCAAAATCCCCGGTTGTGGCGGCGTGTTGATTGCTTCGGAGTGGGTGCTGACCGCCAAACATTGCGGAAACTTTGAAGGAAGGGCGGTGATTGTTGGTGCTCACCACCAATCCGCCCCCGGGGTGTTTCGTGGAGGAGCGGCTCGGGTATGCACGGAATACGTGGGGCATCCTGGATTCACAAGCACTGGGTGTGAGTTTTGTCCTCCCTTTGAAAACGATTTTGCTCTGGTGCGTGTAAAATCAACGGACGGTTGTGCCGAGGGCGTGCGTATGTGTCGCAATCGTTCCGKAAGTGAAAGAATCCACTCCTGATTTCAAAACGATTGGTTTTCCTTTGTTTTCTTTTCTCCGYCACAGTGCAAGCTTGATACCCCTGTCTATGTCRACGACACCACCGTAACACTTCGGCTCGGAGAACAGCCAATGTTTCCGCCGGCGGAAGAAGAAGTAGTTGCGATCGGCTTTGGACGCAACTTCACCGGACCTACCAGTCTCTCCGGTCCTCCCCCCGAGTTTCTTCAAGAGGTTACCGTTGCCGTGGACGAGGTCAACTGTGACTATGATCCCTCTAACATTTGTGCTAGTAAGTTGTGACCTAGTGCGTTGGTCGATTCTCTGCGCGACGCCCAACCAACCTCTCACTGCAACTGGATCTGTTTCTCTCGTTTTGGTTTCGTCGAACGCTATAGCTAGCGAAGAAAAAAAAGGCATTTGTTTCGGAGACTCGGGCGGTCCTCTCCTGCACAAGGGACCCGTCGACGACGCCACCGGAAGGCGCACCGATACCCACGTTGGTGTCTCGTCCTTTGTGTACGGCAGGCTGGACGACAACGAGGACTTTGCCTTTTGCGGCCTGGGACGCCCCTGGTTGCCGGACGTCTACGGTCGGACCAGCAGCGCGATCGGTTTTGTGCAGCGGACCATCTGCGAGGAAGGGAACAGCCGGTCCCCGTTCTGCAACACGGATCCGCTCGCCTGCGAGAGCGAGACCGAGCAGAAGCTTGTCGTCCGGATCGTCACGGACGATTTTCCCTCGAGGACCAACTGGACGCTGCGGGAAGCCGGTGGGACRGAACCGCTCCTGGCTCGAGACGATTACGACCAACCGTTCTTTGCTTACGAGGTGGGTTCGAACCAACGCACCAACCGCACCAAGGCAATCTCATCGTTCCAAGGGCTCAYKGCGTCGYCTTTTTCCTTTCTTGTGTTTTCTTACCAGGACGAGATCTGCCTCGCGAGGGGAGCATTGTATGAATTCGAGATCGACCGGGCCGGAGGCGCGAAAGGCGGTGGCTTGTATTCCCTGATCCTGGACGGAAAGGAAGCGGGCACGTTTTCCGAGGCATCCCTCGCGGATCCGATCGGCGGGGGGGTTGTCTTTTCGACGGACWMTTCCGCCCCCGGGGAAAGCGGCGTTCCGCTTTTGTGCACCGACGACGCTGCCTACCGGTTCGGGAACAGGCCGACCGGCAAGACCTGCGCCTCGTTCGGGGAGACGGTTGCGGCCACGGGCCGGAAGAAGCGGAGGCGGAAGCGCMGGCGCGTCTGCCGCAGGAGGGACCCCGTGAACGGCCGGGAGCGCGTGGAGAGCAGGTGCCCCTCGMTCTGCCTCGAGGCCTGCCGGCCGGGGAAGCGACGGGGCAAAAATCAGACTGGAAGWCTCAACGACGGAGCGTAGTAGGAGGAATGACGGTTCCTCCTTTGCTCCCTGCTGCTCCTCTCGGTATACCAAATAATCCAATGCTGTACAGAACAAGCAGCCGATGGCCATTTTTGTATTATCTGCATGCCGCATAGACCATTCGTGTGTGTGTGTGTGTGTTTTTTTTTTTTTTTTTTTTTTTTTTTCCATCGCATCGCATGGCACTCAGTCGATCATGAGTCCCAGGCCCTCGTTGAACTGGTCGTAGACGCACGAGAGTTCCTCGCCCTTGGCAATGTCTTTTAGGGCGACGAGGGGGGCCGACCGGACAAAGCCCGAGCCGGGGCCGGAGGAGGCCTCTTCCCTCCGAAGCACGGCCACGTGCGGTGGGTGGCGGCCCCCCTCCGAGGCCCCCCCCCGCTCTTGGTCCATCCACCCGGTGTTGCCCCCCTCGTAGCCGCCGTCGTTGCAGAAGCTCCCSGGGTCGAGGTCCGTGACGATCCGCAGGCGGGCCCCTTTGGTGGTTTCGCGGCGTTCGCTTCTCGTTTGGTTTCCGGTTTCGGTTCCCAGGTCCTGGGCGTAGCTCCAGAGGAGGACGTCGCAGGCCAGTTSCGGGGCCAGGATCCGCAGAAACTCGGCAAAGTYGGTCCCGGTCTCGAACTGCGCCGACTGCGAAAAGTCGTAGAGGACCCGGCCCTTGTCGACGGCCTCCTTGGCAAAGATCCCCCGGCCCCTTCCGYCGGAGTACCGGACCTCGAAGGGAACGAGGAGGCCGGTGGAAAAGGCGTCCCTTCCCMCGCTCGCCAGGGTGGACCGGTGCSGGCCCACCACCGAGACGTAGGCCTCCCGCATCCCGGTCCAAATCTCGGGGCCGTGGATCGGCAGGCCCCGGTCGTAGTCGCACCCGAGGTTCTCGTCCATCTCGGCCATGGTCATTTCGTGCCAGGCTTCYCGGTCCGGGAGGAGCCCGGGGGGCCGGAGGGCCGGGTTTTGGGCCGTGGACGACGGTGGTGCTGCTCCTGTTGCTCCTCCCCGGAGGAGGAGGGCCTTGCGCTCGTTCGCCTGCRAAACATCGGTCCGGTACGCCCGGTCGAACGCCGCGAAGGAAACCGCCASCAGAAGGAGGTGCCGGAATCCGAAGAGGGCCGCCACCAGCCACATCAGCCGGTCGATCGGGTGCTTGTCCGTGCCGGTGTTTTTGCGTTTGCTTTCGTGCTTGGATCCCATGGTTGCCGTTGTTTGTTCGTTCGTTCGTTCGTT